GACTTTAAGTCAATTGAAAGGCAAAAGCGAATCATTGTTGGATGCCATCTCATTTGCCGTGCATCTCCATAACCCATAACCTTTTGCTGTTGCTGCCAAAACAACTTCATCATTGGAGAACTTTCGAAATTAGTTCCAGATATGATTGACAGTAGGTCAGAGTGAAGTTCACTGGTTACTGAAATACTATATGTCCCCTTATTCTAGCTTCCATTTCTTCCAACTGGTTTTTAAGGGCTTTGCACTCCATTCTCTTTGCTTTTGGCGAAATGGCAAGGCGTTGTTGAGAAGTGGCAGATAATGGGGCACGATCTTTAACAGGTTCAAGAATTTTTCTTGACTGTCTTGAAGCAGATCTTGACTTTTTGTCATCTGCATCTTTACATGCACAACATTGAACTGTTTGACAAAGTACAAAACAAAATTCATGCCTTTTATAAATAGTAACCAAAAGGATTGGCGAGCCATCATAGTCAAGTGGTTCCACAATTTTCTGTACCGAGTGCCTCATAAATTTACTCTTTTCATGCACTGGATCATTTACTTCATTTTCTTCGACATTACCTAACCCAGAACAGACACTATATTTTATGACATTTGATAAAAGTGAGTAGGCCGTAGTAAACCTGACTGAACGTTTGTGTTGCAAGTAAATTGGATGATCATCAGGGATGAACCAGCCATACACAGATATACTAAAGCCAAGACTGCAATCAACAATAACTTGAAATTTTGCAATATGATGGACACCATCAAACCAGGCAAACGTAACATTTTCCTTATTTTGGCTTACTGTCCAGCCCACAAGCTTGAGTGATGAAATATGCAATTTAAAATCGTCCAAATTCGTATAAAGCGGTTGCATATCTGATATTGTATTTTCGTGCGTGTTTGTTGAAGAACAGCCATAATTTTGAATTCCATCTGGATGCCCATTTTCAGTTGTGGACCTTCTTGTAACATGAGCTCGCGAATACGTTTGGAGACTTTTCTTTGGTAATTAAAAGTGGGTAATGCTCCAAGTTTCAGTGTCTTTCTACTCTCGTCTGTGCACATACAAAAATAACAAAGGAACAGGATTATTAACCCCATAAACATGAGATAATTCCAAGCATGATTAATATGTACATATTTAATCCAAAACAACGCATGAGATTCAAATGTTTGACAAACAACATAAAAACATTTACTTACGGATTTCTATATCTTCAGGCCTAAAATGTTTTTCACATACGTGTAATTTTCCTTCATTTATTTGCCTCCGTAGATCTTTGTCAATAACTCTGTCTCGAGTTATTATGGCTAGTAATTTCTTTCGCCATTCAACCTTGTTTTTGTTCACCTTAGAACGTCCAGGAATCGCAAATAAGCTGATACCATTGTGTTTCTTCCTCCGTGAAACAGTGCAACCAAATATACTGCAATTTGCCCCTGCATGAAGCGAAATTTGATACTTTTTGAATGCACAGTTGTCTTTGTGTGCTTATTTTCGTCAAAATCATCATCGTGCGTGCACCCATATTTGCACGTGACCACAGTCAAAATTAAACATAACATATTGCTTTGATGTATGCCGCGTTTCCAGACACTTTTATACATGGACTATGGTTACAGTAAGGGAAACAAAAGATACATAGCCAGGATTTTCTATGATTTTCCATGAATTTAGAACTTATATGCACTTACATTTTCTCAGCTGGAGGAGGGGGGTAAAGGGGCTCATAACTACACGTCTGGGATAGATATTTTTTTGTTTCTGGATTGAACCACCAATTTTGGTTGAGTATGCTGTGACCATCGGTCCCAGTAGTCCAGACTTTATTGACCCATTGCTGATGCCCCCTACAAATAATGTACTGGCTATATGCCGCTGATGTTAACCATGCCATATATACTATATACACAATACACCTTTCACAATATAGTACCTGTAAGTATATACACTGTCACTGATACACATATTTCAATTATAAACTGCAAGAGTATCAAGTAAATTAGATATGTTTATTAAATCATAAGTGTTTCAGAAATAAGTGCTTACCATTCTTTCGCTTGCAAGTAATATTTTCTTTTCCATTAACATGCCTTGGACGTTAAATGTGCGACATTTTGCTGCTTCAATGTCAAGTTGCTCAGACTTGTGTTGGGTAAAAAAATGCTGTCTTAAATTCTTGTATAATTCATTCCGACCAACACACTCGTCATGTGGACAAGCCAACAGAGTATTAACCTCGTACCCAGGATCTTTCTTTGGGAAAGACCCTGGCTGCGGCTGGTCACGTGCCTCATCAAAAATTTAGCGCCTGAGGGGGTGTGGGGAAAGTATCAAATTACATAAACATGTTTCCAGTGGAATATTTGTTAAAAACATAAATTTTGCGAATTATTACGTTCAAAATACTTGCTAATTTTTGTTTATTTTCTTTGCTTTGAATTTACAAGAACATTCTTACATTCTTACTTACAGTCAAGTCAAGTCAAGAAACAAAGCAAATCGTTACTCGCAGTACGTGCTCTCTCGTGTTGTTATTCAATTCATGCTCTATCTCTTCACAATCGAGCGTGGTTATAACAAACCTTTTAATATTGTAATCTTTTTAAATTACGCCAATTCGTCCTTTCTTGTAAACGTTGATACGCTTTGTACCGATTCACTTGTTACTACGCGTCTTGTTTATAAGATTCTTAAAAGAAACAGTATTGCCTAGGACTGACCCAATATTAGCAAATGTAAACATTTGATAATAGCCGAACAGAGAAATGTCTATAAGTATAGAGGAAATTTCAATCATTGGTTTATCTGGATTTAGTACATAATTCGTATTCGGTAATTATAGTAAGACTTTAACCTTTTTTTGGTCTCTATTTAACAATTATACCATGAGCTCGAGTCGTATGTGAGCTGATAGCTGACGAAGTGCGTAGCACCGAGTCGGCTATCAGCCATATACGACGAAAGCGAATGGTATAATTGTTTTACAATATAGTCTAATAGCCATTAACTGAAGCAATAATTAATTATCCTCTGTTACAATGTCTTGACAATTTGTTCGGCCAAAAACCGCTTGGCCTTGAAAATTTGAAATACATTTGTTTTTCAACTCGAAGACGAAGTGAAAGAAATGGTTTTAGAACCGGTATATCTCACAAAAAAGCTCAGATATATTATACAGATGTTTGGTAGTATAGTAAGTGCTTGTTGACTGCAAATTCATTTGTCTTTCGTTGCAAACTTTTCTGAACAATTTATATTCTGAATGAACATGTTTTTTCGCTGTTGTTTCGGTATTAATTCCTTAAAAGCTTGTATTTAAACTAATTTCTATGTAATAAATGTATTTTGCTAACCTGTCAAATTTTTTTGAGAGTTTTTCTTTGTTCCATTATCTTTCTCAAAGCGAATATTTTCCTTTTTTCTGCTTCGCAAAACTCATGTAGGTTTTGGACCGCCATCTTGTTTTTCGCTACTCGCCGTATACAAAGATTAAGTATATAAAGATGGCCGACTCGCGGAAAATTCCTTTGTTCTCGGTGTCCCCCGTTTCGAAAGCCCACGCGGTTTCCACGCGTTTCGTCTGGTAAGCGCCGAACCAAATTTTTGTATTGAATTGTATGGCGAAATGCCGAATTTTCACAATAAAACAGCGATTTTAAAAACATCTACCGTCCGATCTTTATTTTGAGGACAAAATTTGAAAGAACATGTCAAGCTGCGTCTCTTAAAGGGAAAATTATTACACGAATATGTTTAAAACGAACGAAAATTTGGATAAACGACCTCCGAAGGAGACAAGTCAGGACTGTCAGGTGAGATTCTTTTCATTTCTTGATCATTTTTCGATAGTGTTTTGTGAAATTTCGTACCTTAGACAACGGATGCATATAGGACTATTGCTAACTAACACTAAAAATATGTTTGGGATGCGTACAACCAGAGTTTTTATATACTGTACAGGGTACATACAATATACTATTAAATACAAACAATATTCAAATATATAGAAATATTATTTTGTTTATAGGCTAGTACCAAAATGTTTCGTTATACACAAAGATAGTAAACGCATTTAGACCTGAAATATATCTTTGAGACCAAACATTATACTGTCTATACTGTTAACTGAAATTTTGGGGATTTGAATTTATTGAATTGAGTCAGGTACCAATTATATAAACACATTTCTATGCTTAATTAAATAACAATATCAGTTGCCCAGGCAGTGTACTTAACCAATGACTTGCATTTATAGTCTGTATATAGACATTATTTGTTTGACCATTGACGGTCCCTGCTTATAATAAATACAACCTCACACTGGTTGTCTCTGTGTGTGCAGCTGTGTTTCATTAAATTGTATTTCTGTAAAAAACACCCAACAAATAACCAAATTATTCTCTTTTTAGTTGACAGACTTTCCATGTTAAAAGAACTACAAATCTGCTCTTTGACTATCTGGGTAAAGGCGATGACCATGGATTGTTGATCAACAATGTTTTGTGGAATGCTTAGCTATCCAATTTGAAAAATACTGTCAAATATTCTATACATTTCGATGTTCTGAGTTTTATTATTTTATTTTATATTCCACATTGACTTAACCCTTATTAGGGTATACAAAACTTATAGTATTGTTAAATGTAAACATGTGCACATCTTCAAACATAATGTGAGTTGTGTTAGCTAATGCAGAATTGTGTTAGATACTGCTTTCTCTGATTGCACTCAAGCTGCCAAGAAACAGCAATTATTTTTGTTACCGAAGAAAATGGTATCAAAGCATATCCCTCATTATATTAAAATGCTACTGGATAACTGATCCCATGACAGTAATTAAATATTGTAATTATTAACCCAATGAGTCGCATTGCGCCCTGATGCACCCTACTTTAATATTTACTCTGTCTAACGCTAGACGATTTTGCTCGTCAAGGGGAGAGCGCTGGCACTTAATGAGTTAACTGGCCTATCTGCCCATGTGTCTATTTAACCCATTGAGTCGCATTGCGCCCTGATGCGCCCTACTTTATTATTTGCTTATTTGGACTATTACACTCAGTAAAATTAGCTTTGAAACCGTGCCTAATACACTTGTCACTGGAAACAACTCCACCCCCCACACCCTCCCACCCCGGGGGAAACATGGGCATAGACTTTTTTTTAGAAACTAATGAAAGAAAAAGCCCCCCACATAGGGGCAAGCAAAACAGGCCAAAGCCACTTCTAGAATAACACATTTAGTAAAAGTTTCAAACATGGAATATTTAAAGTAGAATGATGAATAACTTTAAACACTAACATGGCTTCTTGTGCAAAAACACCAGTCGTCCATTCGACAATAGTAATCTAGGCTACCCATAGGATTATGGGTAGCCCACATGTAATCATGCCTAATCTTGTCCTCAAACTACATCTCCCACCTATGCCCCATGTTTCCCCAGGGTGGGTGCGTGGGTGGTAAGGGAGTTCCGATGACAAGTGCATAGAGCAGATTTACAACAGACAAGGTGCTTGCTACAAAGACAATTTATTGAGTTTAAGAGTCTAAATAAGTAATAACACAACATGCACATTCAAAGTTTAAGGTTTTAAAAGGAAATTAAATTACTGGCATGTATTTCATCATATTTTGTGTCTTTTGTGAATATTTGTTCACTGGTTTAGTTTAAAAACATAGTAAAATTTGTGTACAGTAGTGAATGATCAAAA